ACAGCCACCACATGGAACACACTAATCGGTTTATTTGTTGACTTAATAAGCCAATTCGAGCTGAATTAAAAGTAGAAAGGCATATTTATTTCAGAAGCGTTTCAGGGCAAGTTCACCAGTCTCGGGGGACAAGACTGAAGAAGTCCTGCCCAGGATAGGGCAGGGAAGTTTTTTTTATAGATTGTAGGTGAAGGAAAATGACCTGTCTGTCTGCCACAGGCTGGGCTTGACCCCAAGTGTGGTCACCTGGGTCCGGGAGAAGTTTGCTACAGCTGCCAGGATATCGAACTGGGCTTTTGGTGCCATGGCTGCGGTGGAGGGAGGTGGAGGTGTGTGAGCCTAGTCGGAGGCTCCAACCAAACCGACATCAGTATCTAGCAGTGGATGAGTGTGGAAAAACTGTGATACATACTTCCATATAAAATGGAATACTATGTAGTAATAAGATAGGATGTCTTCCGTGACAACATGTGTGGAGCTCGGTGACATGCTGAGACAAATTTGTCAGGCATTGAAAGCTTAATATTGTTCATCCATCATAGAGGAGATAGCTAAAATCCGACAGGAGTTTACAACCCTTTCTTGGATTTGGAAAGATTTTTTAAAGCACAATGCAGAACTAGAAATCACAATGAAACCACTCCTTTAAAATATGAAGGGGTTTAGAAATCTCCCAAGCTTTACTTTCTATAGGGAGTGTGAGGAGATCTGAGGAGTGCTCACAGGGGAAGTAGATTGCTCACAGCAACACATGGCTGAGACGTGCTGGAGCTGGAAATGAGCATATGAGAATTTATTATGCTGGGGTTTTATACTTTTTATAACTAGAAAGAACGAAGGTTGAGAGTTCTCTGTGGATCCAAATCCAAAGGCCACAGTGCAGTGCTCAAAGTGTTCTAATCCTATGTATCCTTTCTCCTGGTTGTTAGTGTAGTAGAAGTTTCCTGGTATTTTAGGTGTGTGGAAATGAGGAAAATGCAATGGTTAAAGTCAGTGGAAACTTTGTAAAAACTATAATCTGTACCCAGTACAATTAATTCACTTGGTATACATTTCCATGAATTTTGAAAACATATAATCAGGTGTACTTTATCAAGATATATAGAATCTGGAGAGTTGGCTCAACCATTGAGAGTATTTTTTGCTCTTGCAGAGGCGTAAGGTTTCATTCCCAGCACCCATCCCTAACTCCAATTCCAGGGATCCAACATACTTTTCTAAGCTCTCCTAATACTAGGCATGCATGGAGTATACATATATACATACATACACATACATACATACATACATACATACATACATACATACAGGCAGACAAAGCACTCTTACAAGTAAAATTCAAAAGACTAAAACATTACTTTTCAAAGTGTATACAGACCCCTACCTTTCCGCAATTTCCCCAGTGTCTGTTGCAGACACACTCACTGCTCCTCTGCCTCAGCCGTAAGTACTCACCTTTCCAGATGCCATAAAATGGATCCATGAAGCAGAGACTTCCCACCTGAGTTCTTTCAGCTTGTCACAGCAGTGCCCTCTGCCCATCAATCACAGTGCTAGCCTGTCAGGAAGAAGCACTGCTGCTAGATCCTGAGAGACTGCATTCACTGCACCGTGACACAGAACCACACTCTGAATTCAGAATTTTGCATGAATCTTACCAGCAAATATTATACAAAGAGGACATGAAAATCTGGCAGGAAACTTCTACAGAAGTGAGAGGAGGAAGTGAGTACTGCAATTGGGAGTCTCTTCTCAAGGGACTACTCCCTGTAGTTCTCTGAGCTCATGTTTGCATAAGCTTGCTGGCAGGCTGAGTTTAGGGACTTTTTGGGTAAGCAGCCTTTGGGACATTTGGCTTGTTAAAGTGGCACAAGACAGGGCACGCACAGGCATGTGGTCTGAGCTGTTTCTTGTGTTGAGAGAAGGTTTACCTTGTTATCAGCCTGGGGATATTTGAATAGTCTCAAATGTGTCATTTTCACAGGGATCCTGAAAGGTGCTGCAAATATTCACATAAAGATTTCTTGCAACTTGAGTATAGGCTGTCCTTTGCAGCATGGGGATATGTGGGTAGGATGGGAGCATATCATATTTTATACTTACAGACAGCTTTGTAGTAGCTGTACAATTTAACCTTAAAAAGGTGTTAGACCTACGTCAACAGCAACATCAATGTATAACATCCTGGTCGTGGAGAATGATTTTGCTCTTAAATCTAAGATGATTTTTGTCTGACAAGTTCACAAACATTCTCCCTTACTTTTCTAAAGATCCAATGACTACAATATTAAGCTTTGTGCCTGAGTCTATACATCTACAAACAGACTGTAGTAGTTTGAGTATTTTTTTTTTTAAGCAGACAGACAGTTGTCTGTTTCAGCAGTACATAGTGGAGCAATGCCACTCTTTTCCTATCTAAAAACTGTTCATCGCTGTTAAGTACCTGTTGACCGCCTGTATTTAAAGTCATTCTAGAGTCCTGTTTTCTGCTGTGTTTTTTTAGTGTCTACTCTGTTGATAGCACCAGGCTTTCATTCCTGTTCCCATGAAGACATGAGGCATTAGATTAGGCTTGAGATCGCTCTGATTTTGACCTTTTCTGTTTCAGAATAATTTTTTATTGGATATTTTATTTATGTACATTTCAAATTTTATCCCCTTTCCCAGTTTCCCTTCTCTCTGGAAACCCCCTATCCCATTCCCCCTCCCCTTTCTTGTATGAGGGTGCTCCCCCACCCACTTCTGCCTCCCCACCCTTGCATTCCCCTACACTTGGGCATTGAGCCTACACAGAACCAAGGGCCTCTCTTCCCATTGATGCCTGACAAGGCCAGCTACATGTGCTGCTGGAGCCATGGGTCCCTCCATGTGTACTCTTTGGTTGCTGGTTTAGTCCCTGAGGGCTCTGTGGAGTCTGGATGGTTGATATTGTTGTTTTTCTTTCAGCTCCTTCAATCCTTTGGCTAACTCCTCCATTGAGGACCCCATGTTCAGTCCAATGGTTGGCTGAGAGCATCTGCCTCTGCATTTGTCAGGCTCTGGAAGAGCCTCTCAGAAAACAGCTATATCAGGCTCCTGTCAGCAAGTGGAGACCTCATAAAATTGTAAAGCTTCTGAAGGCAAAAGACACTGTCAATAGGACAAAATGGCAACCAACAGATTGGAAAAAGATCTTTACCAATCCTACATCCAATAGAGGGCAAATATCCAATATATACAAAGAACACAAGAAGTTAGACTCCAGAGAACCAAATAACCCTATTAAAAATGGGGTACAGAGCTAAACAAAGAATTCTCAGAATCATTTTTAACCATTCTGTTTTCTTTTTAATTTTCATAGTACTTCTCATATAACTTGGTGCTATGATTTTTTTTCTGAAGGCAACCACCCCTCAGGAATATGTTGCACATATACACTTGTTCAGGAATTGTTGACATATGAGCCATATAGGGTGTTCAGGTTTATTATGTGTTTAGAGTTGCCTTGATTTCTTCTTTTTCTTTTTTTTAATTCTCAAAATTTAGCATGTATGAGTGTTTGGCCTGCATAGATATCTATGGATCATGTGCATTCTTAGTGCTTACCAAGGTCAGGAAAGTTGTCAGATTTCCTGAATCTGAAATTACAGAAGTTTGTGAGTTTTTATATCAGTGCTAGAAATGAACCCATGTTCTCTGCAAGACCAGGAAGTGCTCTTAACCACTGAGCCAACTTTCCTGTCTTTATTTCTTTATAACTTTGCATGTAGGCTTTTTGTTATGCTGATTATGAACATCCTAGTTTTAGATTTGTAATTTTATGTTTTTTAGCATTACTGTAAAGAGCACTGTCTAAGATATTAATTATCACTTGAAAGGATAATATAACTGGTTTTACCATGTTGATGCTCCATCCTGCATCTTTGTAAACTCAATTTTTACATCCAGTAGTCTTTTGAAGAATTGTTAGATTTTTTTTTTTTTTCTGAGACAGGGTTTCTCTGTGTAGCCCTGGCTGTCCTGGAACTCACTCTGTAGACCAGGCTGGCCTCGAATAGAATTTTTATGAAGATAAAATCATGTTATCTGTGAAAATAAACACTTTCACCTGTTTCTGAGAAGTTTATACCTTCTTTTGTTCTTCAAGAAACTCATTTTATGTACATGGCTGCTTGCCTGCATGTTTGTGCATCACATGAATGCCTGGTGCCTATAGAAGTCAGAAGAGGGCGATGGACCCCTCAGAACTGGAACCGTGTATTGTTGTAAGCTATCTTGTGGGTCCTAGGACTTAACTCTGGGCTCTCTGGAAGAGCTGCAAGTGATCTTAACAGCTAAGCTGTTCTCCAGACACCTGACCCTATTCCTTTGTCCTGGCAAGGACTTCCTGGGAAAAGTCTACCTGGAGCAATGAGCAGACATCCGACTCTTGCTCCTGATTGCTGGGAAAACATTCATAATTGTACCATTGGAGAATGAAGCAGACTGCTGCTGGACTTACTGTTTTGTTTTTAATGGATAATTTTTGTAGTGTTAATGACGTTCCATTCACTTTACTTCTGTTTTTCACATAATTTTGCTGTTTATTGAGGTATTTTTAGTTTTTCCTCTTTTCTTATTTTGTTAATATTTCTAACTACATTGTTTGTCCCTAATGTTTCCATAGCTCCTTCTAACTTGGATACTTTTCATGGAGCCAAATCCAGATTTTTGTTGTTTGCAATTTACTGGGATCTCCATTCCCTCTAATTTTGCACTTTCATTATTCACCCCAGAGTTCAGTGACCAGAAGAGTCCCTGGCAAAAGCTCAGTTTCCATCCTCTCTAGACTTCTTTCTACCATGGACATCCTTTGTAGATGAGGAACTTCTCTGAAAGGGTTGGCAAAAGCCTTTCAGGAACATATAGGCAATTGTAAAGTAGGTTTTGTGGTGAATTTATTTTATTTTCCTTAAGAAATTCTTAAAATTGGCATTCTTATATTCATAATTTACAGGTGAAATGCTCCAAAGAAAATGTCTCAGAATTGTCTCCCCTGAGTCTCGTGTTAGGCTTTACTGCTGCTATGGAGTGATCATGGTCCTCACTGCAGCTGTAGTTGCTCTTTCTGTTGCTTTGTCAGGTAAGTGACTCATTCTCCAAATTCTGCAACATTCTGCCCACATTCACTTTGTCAGTTATACTACTGACCACTGTGACCCAGGCATTGTGGGAAGGGCTCTAGAGAAAACCCACAGGAAGTTCCTGTTGTCTCAGAACTTAGGTTCCAGAAGATGCAGTGAAGGAACACACAGGCTGTGGTGTGCAAAGAGGCCGGGCTCAGCATCCCTGGGAAAATGACATTCAGCAAACTCTAGACCAGAGATGCAGGGGACATAGGCCCCCTTGGGGAACTGTTCAATGCAGAAAATAATGAGAGGAAATCTGAAAGTAGGAACTTCAAAGGCGAGGCCAGGGAGATACAGTGCCTCCCCCCATGACGCATAGGTTTAGTTACCAGGCTCAACTGCATTTTGAAAGTACTAAATGGAAAGTTGCCGAAGTAATAATTTTATAGGATTTTAGTACCACACTGTCCAGAATAGTGCAATAAAATCTTGCACTGTCCTCTTAAGTATGTGAATCATCCTTTAGTGCAATGTGTCCACACTGTATATACTACCTATTCAAAAGTTCTCACTGCTATCTCAATTATCAGGCTGGCTGTCAACAGTTGTCCATACAGAGTGCTTGCTGCTCCAGCATTTCTATTGTAGTAAACAGTCATCCAAAGCACAGAATGTGGTGCTAGTATAGAAATGCACTTCCTGGGAGCCCTACTGTCAGTGAGCACCTGAGAGAGAATGGGACACAGGCCCATCATGCTCAGGCAATGATTCCTACAGATCAGTTAGGAAAGCTACAATCAGATTCACACCTCACAGCTGAGTTCAGGAGGGTATTATAATTCATTGTATTGTCTACATTTTAGTAAGAAAGACAGAACAGAACTCAATCAAAAATACCTATGCTGCTTGCCCGAGAAACTGGATTGCATTTGGAAATAAATGTTTTTACTTTTCTGAATACTCAAGTAACTGGACATCCAGCCAGGCCTTCTGCATGGCACAAGAGGCCCAACTAGCTCTAATTGACAGCCTGGAGGAGCTGGTAAGAAATGGGCAGGGATTGGTTTGTCTGTTTGTTCTGTTGAATATTGTATTGCCTTAGATAGAGAGTTACAGATGAAGCATGAGGAAGGATCCCATCCCAAGCACATGGAGACATGGGAATGTGTGAGTGTGTGCAATTTGCTCATGTTTGGCTTATGACTAGAGCTCTGTGACTTTCAAGAAGTATTCTCTCATTTAGTGCTCATAGTCAGCTGGAAGGTCAGATATGCCATTTTACTGAGATACCTGGTGGTCATGAGCTTATTCCTGTAAGATGGCACATGTTTTAGACAGAAGGTGACAACTGTTAATAGCTGCAGTGGGAGGTTAACCCATAACTATCCTGGCTGCAGAGGAATGTGTTGTTACATTTGGTACGTTGATTCAAATGAGGTCCTTTAGAATTACAGATGTCAAGTGGATCCACTGAGAACTGGGGGTAATACACCTCCAAAGTCTGTGAGCCTTAGTTCTACCCTCCTGTTATCTTTAGAGGAAGCTTCGGAGTGGAGAGACTCCAGGATCCTCTGAAAAAAGAGACACATATATTCTTGCCTTTTTGTGTTTTATGACAGAATTTCCTAAGGAGATACAAAGGGATTTTTGACCACTGGATCGGCCTGCACAGAGAGTCGTCAGAGCACCCTTGGAAGTGGACAGACAACACTGAGTATAACAACATGTATGTTTTCAGAATGTCTTTCCTTCTATTGTGTTCATGTGTTGTGATGTATGTGTGTTGTGGTTGTGAGGGTTGAAAGACTGTTTCATGTGAAGCCAAATATATTGGGAAGAAAGAAAAAAATGAACCCTTGTGCTGGAGGTGTGGCTCAGAGGTAGAGTATATGCTTACATGCAACAGCCTATCCCCAACAAACTTCACATCCTGACAAATTTAAATCAATTGGATACTCTCCATTTATTATATATCATCTTGAAGCATTAACATAGTGTTATTTCATTCCAAATATTCAGCATGATGGTGGTATCTGGGGTAGATGTTGTCTGCTATCAGCACTTGAAAATCTTTCCTTGACGATAACTGCCCTTGTGTGATGTCCACAGCCCTGCTGTTGGCCATCAAGAGCTCTAAAACCCTAGGAAGCCAGTTGAAAACTGCCAGCCTGAGAATGATCAGTTCTCTGTTTGCATGGTTGTACCCGGTCACAGAAGTAGAGACTCCAGGCAAAGTGAAAGTCTCCCCTAAAGTCTTGCCGTCAGTGGTCACAGGGGTCAGCTCTTGAGTGTCAACACAGCCATTTTGAACAGTCCCATTTCAGTGGAACGATAAAACACAGAACCAGTCACCTCCATAGTTAAAGACCTTTCAGCAATTTACTAAGTGCTGCATTTCCTCCCACTTTTATACATGTGTGAAATACGTCACGAGAGCATTGATAACCACCCTTGTGAGGCTCCCCACTGCTGCAGTTCATTTGAACATGGCAGCCAGCGTTGTACACACATTACAGGGTTCAACATGGGTATGTCAGAGGTGTAGTGATCAAGTTGAACCCTGAGGATGTATTAGCCCCCAGGTACAAAACTAGTGCCTGGGATTCCAGTAAACTCTGCTTCTGATTTAGATCATAAGTAAGCAGAGAAGACGAGTGAGTTATGATTGGAGGAGTGAATGTCATGGCAGACTCTGCTGAAATCTTTTTTTTTTCTCTTTAGGATTCCCATCCAAGGAGTTGAAATATTTGTCCTCCTGGGTGACAGCGGGCTCATCAGTAGCAGGGATGACATAAACAGGCATTGGATTTGTAGCAAGTCCAGCAGCTATACCTTACAGTGTAAGGAGCTGAAGCAGTTTGCAACCCCATAGGAAGAACAATATCAACCAACCAGAACCTTGAGAGCTCCCAGGGATTAAACCACCACTGAAGAGTAACACATAGATGGACTCATGGCTCCAGCTACTTATGTAGCAGAGCAGAGAATGGTCTTACCTGGCATCAATGGGAGGGAAGGTCTTTGTTCCTGTGAAGGCTTGATGCACTGGAATAGGGGTAGTGAGGTGGGAGTAGATGGATGGATGGGTGGGTGGGTGGGTGAGCACCCTCATAGAAGCAGGGGGGAGGGGACGGGAGGTGGGATAGGGTGTTTTTGGAAGGGAATCTGGGAAGGTGGGTAACATTTGAAATACAAATAAATGAAATAAAGAATAAAAAATTAACAAAAGATGGTTTTAAGTTAAATAGGTATTCAGGTGTGAGCTGCTATTCAGATCTTAAACATAAACTAAATCACATCAGTATTAGTAACCTCTACTTTTTTTTCTTTTTTCTTAATTATTTATTAATTTACATTCGAAATACTGCCCCCTCCTGGTATCAACTCCCAGAGTTCTTCTCCCCATACCCCTTCCCATTGCTTCTGAGGGGGTGTTCCCTTACTCCCACCTCCCCATCCCCTCACTCACCCCCATACCACCCTACTTTGGTCATTCCCCTTCCCTGAGGCATCAGGTTTCTATTGGTTATTAGGATGCAGGGATGGTGGACCTCTTTAGAAATTGTTCTTTGGAGCAAATCTCATCTCTGTTGTCAGTAAATCAGCAGTTCAGTATGCAGGCGTCAGCAGTGGCAGCTCATTCTCCTCACAACACTGGAGTCATGATCTCACTGTTAAATTCAAAGCTTATTGCCTGTTTATCACAATCTCTAGGGCATAAGGACGACGTCCAAATAGGGTCGGATAAAGTTATTTATTTAAAAACAGAAGAGATAGTAAGCTTAGGACTTTCCTAAAAAGAGTCAGACATAATTGTCTCAGGAAAGACATAAAGTGAACCGTAGTGCAGGAAGTCCCCAGGAATGCAATATGAAGAGAGTAAAACTTAAGAGTGAAAGACAGAAGGACTGAGATTGCAGCAACCTGCTCAGCTTCCCTGGAACTGTGTCAAACAGCCATGCTGGTTTCATGACTTTCATCCTTTCCAGTGGAGACTGCTGTGCCAGTCACTGTGTTACCAGAGTTAAATTACTGGATTATCAGAGTTGCACTGATTGACATGTTACATCTTTGACTTTTGGGAGTCTTAATATTATATTTATCTTTTAAGACCCTTATCTCTTGTATAAACCTCAAACTTTTTTTCTTAGTCATTGCAAAACAAGTTTCTTTTTTTTTTTTTTTAACAAAGGAACAGTAAAAGGTTAAATTGAAATCTGTTTGTCTTGGTAATATGAGGGCTGTCAGCAGAGCAAACTTGTCTATGAGTCTGCCTTTCTTACTGGGAGACTAAGGAAGTTTAACAAAGAAAGGTCCAATTTTCATATATTAAATGCATTAAACTGACAAAGCTATAGTTAACCATAAACACAATCAGAGATCTGAGGATAAATTTGAACAGAATGTATAAGCAAATGGCCTCTGTATCAATACAATGACAGAGACTTAACTGCTACCTGGGCAATTACCCTAGCCTCCTCCTCTGCAATCTTGGTAATCTCAATAGAGTTCGGTGATTAGGCAGTAGAAGAGGAGGTGGAGCTGGGAGAGAAAGAGAGGAAGGGGAGGGGATAAAAAGAGGAAGGGGAGGAGAAGAAGGAGGCTATCAGCTGTGAAGAACCAGGGATGGATCAAAAGCTGTCCTGGGTAGCAACTTCTTTATAAAGGTTAGATAATTAGTAATAACTCTAATTGTGTGAGCATCTTGTTGATTGAGCATTTCTAAATATATAAATCCTTTAGATAATCATTAAGCTTTAAGAGTCTGATTTCTATTGGGTACTGCAAGGATGGCAGATATTGTCTGAGGTTCAGCTGAGCTTTATGGATGCAGTGAGGTGGATTGGCAGAGCCACCCCCCACATTGGTGTCTTCTGGGTGCCAGGGCCTGTGCATCTAGCTAGCTGGAGCCCTGGTCAGAGCCGAGGAGCAGCAGGAACATGGTGGCTGCCTGGGAACAAGCCGGACAAGGCGCCATTTTCTAAATATCACCCCTACATATATTAATTATTATCTTCTGACAAGATTGTGGTCTAAATAGACTGGTCATATCTGAATAGAGCACACCATAATTTAATGTCAGTAGCAAAAATTATTGACCAAGGCAGGATAGGAATGAACGAACTTTGCTAAATAACTTTGACAGGTTTTTAGTATAAAAACCACACTTTGCTTTAGCTGAGAAAGTGGAGGAGTGCTGGGGACTAATCCAAAGCAGAGTTGTGCAGAAAGCCACATGAAAATCTACAATCTTATAATCTAGTTAATATAGTTTTTGAGACTTTAAATAATCAATTTCTCATGACAATGAGAATACAACCCAACATCAGATTCACCCTGCTGTTGAGTTTTACACATGTCAGCAGTAAATCCCACAGACCCCTTTAGTAGTTTTTTACATTTTTCAGGAGGCCCTGGGAGATGGCTTATGACCAGGCACAGCAGGGGAGGCCAGTCAGGGCCATTGAATCTTGCTACTTCCTCTTTAAGGTCAATTTCATCTTGAGTTAATTTATCACCCTCTAACTCCTCTGTTTTCTTCCCCTGAGCTATCTTCCCTAGGAGAGTTTATCCAAGGAAAAACATTATTTTTAGATTATTTAGAAAGGTGACAATGAGGGAGTTCTCTCATGAGGAGGTGAGCAGAAGGCTCTGGAGTAGACATGGGCTCCTTGTCATTTGCTAGGGCCTAATTATGCTCCAAATAGAAAATGCACCAGAGCCATGTCTACCTCCATTCTTAGTATGCCAGTTGTAAAAACCTTTTTCTACTCTGTCCCATGCTTCTACATCTAATCCCATCTCTGGGTACCAGAGGTGACTGTCTGCACAAAATGGAGGAAATCTGTAACCTGACCAGTATTTACCATAATTCCTCTTTTCTTAAGCACATGCTGAATAATGTAAATAAACATTTTTCTCTCCTTAGGTTCATGTTGCCTCACACTGAGAGAAAAGGCAGCACACAACCACACAGTCACATGCTCACACAATCACACCGAGAGAAAAGGCAGCACACAACCACACAGTCACATGCTCACACAATCACACCGAGAGAAAAGGCAGCACACAACCACACAGTCACATGCTCACACAATCACACAATAAGAATTTCTCACTCTTCCTAACCTGACTCAACAGTCTAGGGGTCCAAGACACCCTGGCGTGAGACTCCTACCGACATCTGAAATCACTTCTCTCTCTTTTTAAAGTAACAATCTCCTTTTCTCCTTTATTAAACCTATCTCCTTGGGTTCCTGTTCTTGGTGTCAGATAGAGAAGTCCAGCTCAGACTGTGTGTTCAAGTGTCCAAGGAGAACATGTGTAGTCAGTGACTATGTAAAGCAGGCACACATACACACTTGGTAGATGAAGCAAGCTTGAACCAGATCCAACAAATTTACATATATTCATATATACACATTTGGGGATGGAGCAAAGCTCCAATAATTTTATATTTTCTCCCACATCTTGCATATCCCAGGAAAATATTTCAAGCAGTATAAAAACCACTATGTGATTACATTATATTTTTAAGTGAACGATTACATGTTTCTTAATACCCTTACATGTCCAAATAGTTTACATACTATGGGTGAAATACAATTGTAAAGCAAATTATTCCTAACAATCCACACAGATTTGTAACTAAGCAACTCGTTATAGATCAGCAAAGTATAAATAAGCAAGATAATTTTCTTAGCCAGTTTCTCTTACTGGCAGGCAGCAATTTGTGGTTACAAAAAAGGATCAATTATTTTATTACTTGTCTTAAAATGTAATCTCATTAAAAATCTTAAAATAATCACAAATCTACAAATTTATATAAAAAACAACCAGTCATTTCTACTTTAAATCTTCCGAATGCACATCTTTTTTCTCTGCTTCTCTCCTGCTTTCTCCCCATTCCTCCTCTCCTGGCCTGGTTCAGTCTACTTTCTCTTCCTGCTCATCTTCCTTCCAGATGCCTCTGGCTGTACTTTCCCTCACAGCTACAGTAGAAACCTCCCCTACACCATGTCCTGAGCAGTCATGTCCTCCATTCATTCACCCTCAGGAGGCCCACTATAGAGAAGGGAGTAGAGAGGAACAGTTGGCTCCAAGACAGTTTGTGTAGCCATGTTTTATAAGCTGTGTAAAGTTTATCCTGGGGTTATTCAAATGGTGATTTCTCTGCCCTCACACCTTGTTGCAATCTGGACACTGCATTGTAATGTGTATACCAAGAATCTCCTGTTTCAAATTAGTGTAAACAGTTCTAACCATTTTCGCTCTGCCTAGGCAATAAATGCTGATCACCCATTGTGAAGTGAGTGCTATATCCTTTAGAGATTTACTTATCAAGTGAGTCTGAGGCCAGCCACAGCTACACAGTGAGGTCCTATTTCCAAAATAAATAAATAAACACTTGCTTTTAAATGAAAAGCTGTTTGCTTTGTCAAATAATACAGCGTTTAGCAGTTCTGATTATTTTATTTACTGTATACTACATTCAGTGTCTCAATCCCCTCTCCTATCTTGTGATCCTGTTTCTCAAAACAAAACAAACAAAACAGCAATAACAAAACAAATAAACAACCTCTCCCCAAAAACCTTCAAGTGCTGTGTGAGTGGGTGTTCTGCTGAAAAGTAAGAATAAACAAGCCACAAAATGAACAAGTTTGACTTGTTACCAATGAACTTGTTCGGAACTGCCCAGAGTTACACAAAACTTCCTGTCTGGTTTCATTTGTAGTTGAGACTCACTCAGCTCAGGGATGAGAGGCTCACAGGATAAAGTCTTCCATGAGATTAGTGAAGACAGAGGTCACTACTACAAACCACCTACAAGAGGGAGAAACAGGTATATATTTAATGTATTTGAAACGAATTAGAAAGGCAGAGAGGAGTGTCACCGTTGTCTCACAGAGAAGAACCTCCTGCCGGTTAGCCGGTCTGGACAGGTCTCTGTAGATGTGAAGGTGCTTGGAGTCCTGTGTTATGTCAGTTACTCTGTTGTGCACACTGTGATGGAGTGCTATTGTGATGGAAAAAAATATGTATTAAGTTTTAACTACAGTGTCTAAGAGACCTATAAAACTAAAAACAAAACAAAACAAATAAACCCCAGATAATCCTGTAAGGCCTCTTGCTCAAGGATGCATGACTTCTCTTACACACACACACACACACACACACACACACACACACACACACACACACA